ATTGACTGAGATGAATGACATGTTTGACTTTCAAGTGGAAGATATACTGAATTTCATTTTAGGTTATATTATTCTCACAGCTTTCTTTTATAACAGCCAACAGTTCCTTAGGTTTTTTGTCCTAATTGCAATTTAAAGGGGAAAACAACCATTTGTCCCAATTTTTGCTATTATCATGTACAAACTTATGAATCATAATTTGCAAGTAGAATTAATTTGTTTAATTCCCACCAATTCATAAAGCTTGCATAGTGTACAAGGAATATATTATGTACCTTGATCAATCTCTTTCAGGATCCCAAACCAAGACATAACACAAAACCTTGCCGTACCTTGGTCTTGCAGAGATCGTTGGTTGGAACTGCTTTGTCTTCCATGGAACTGCTATGGACAGGGACATTAGACCCATCAGACTTGGGCTGGTGGCACTGGACCAACTCTGCTGTGTAAATCAGGCAAATTAATTGCTCCAGCACCAGTCATTTTCCCAATTTCTCTGTCTTTTCAGGGTCGGGTCTCAGCCACTGCCGGGAGCTGAGGAGATTTCGAGTGAAGGGCTTATCACCTTTAGCCAACTCATTCCAGCATGGCTCTGTTCACTGCCAGGTAGTCTAATTGGCCCATGGGTTGCAACAGGGCTTGGATCACCCACTCTTGGGCCATTCACACAGTGAAGCGATACTCTCAAACATCTATATGTGTGCCCATATACTAACCTGGAATGTCATCCTTGCCAGTATGAAAGAAGTTTGAAATGAAAATATCTGCTTTAACCAGACTATTTTTACCACCACATTTGTTAAATTCACTCCTTATTTAGGCTGCCTAATGTGATCTTTACATTAGAAAGAAAATAGACTAGGCATATTTATGTAACAAAAATTAAAAATCCATATCATTTTCATGAAAAAAAGAAAATGTTTTCTTAAATTAGAGACTCCAATAGGCAGAAAACAACATCTTCATTTGTGGCTGTTTGCAAAAATTTGGTGACCGTGACATCCAAGTTTTCCCAGATGACTAGAAAAAAGTTAACTGCTAACTGTGAAGGAATCCATGATGCCTATAAAAGGAAAAGCATAGTCCAAATCCTGCCCAATAAATTTCAGAACATTCTTGAATATCCAAACACTGCTGCCAACCATGATACTGTATGTATTAACCTGATTAAGCATATGCCCAAGTACATAGCAATGCACCAGCTACTTAGCATAACATATAGATCTGTCCACCAAGATTTCAAGAAGTTCTCAAAAGTAGGCTGAATGTGAGAAATAAGCAAAGCTTAAACATGTATGCCCTCATGGTCATCAGATACCCAGTGAATGCAATAAGTACTAGAAGCTGTTGATATCCAACAATATTTCAAAGGTTTCAGTCAGACTGGAATGTTATGGTTGGATGATGGTAAAAATATGAGAAATTATCATATACCTAAGGATTTTCCAATCACATTGGAACTGGACAGCAGAAAGGTAACAGATGGCAATATTAAAATAGGCTGACTTGGTTTGCCATACTTCTCCTGTAAAGCTAGCAGCACAAAACTTATTGACTGTGCATGATTTGGCTAGCTGTTGGAGCTTAAGATTGATGAGAAGCAGCTGGTATTTAGGACAAAGTCATTGTTACATCCAGACTCAAGTTCTTGTAGTGCAGCCCTAGAGGAACTGTATGGTAATGCAAAATCAAATCTGGCAAGTGATGTATAACCCAGTTTTCAGACCGATGCAATCTGGTTGGCAGTTGGGCCAGAGAATGATTTGAGTAGTCTGGTGCACGATTCCAAGATCAGACACGCCAACTGACAGCAAAACTAAAAAAAAGGCTTTTGCCATACTTCTCCTGTAAAGCCAACAATGCAAAAGTTATTGGCTGCAAATCAAACATGCATGATTTGGCTAGCTCCACTGCTTTCGGTAGCTTCAGATAGATGAGGAGTACCTGGTATTTGTATTGTTCATCAAGAGGGAAGTCACTCTTATATCCAAATGAAAACTCTTGCAGTGCAAGCCTAGAGATGATGCTCATGCAAAATCAAATCTGTCAAATGATACATAACCCAGATTATAAACCATAAGATCTAGGTGGCAGTTGGCAGGAATGACCTGACTGGCCTGGTTCAACTGATCATAAATTTTCAAAGAGGCAAGGTTTATAAGATCTGTGGTTGGCGATACCAGGGTGCATGAAGTACTGGTTTGGCCTGTAAACTTATTTGGCTTGCCATTGTAGGTACAGAATATCTTATTGTGTACAGCAGTGTAGTGAGGTGTGCTGCTGACCTGGAAAGCAGTTGGGATCTTATGAGTGGCTAAGTATAAGATGCCTCAGACATTGCTCTAGGAGGCACTATGACAGGATGCGCCATAAATGCAGTAAGGGTCACCTATGATATATAACAAATGATAAAAGAAGCTACTTTCAATAATGTGGATTGAAAAATGTTTGGAATGTGCCACCATAAGGTCTGGCTACAGACTGCAATACAGGCAATCACACTAGAGTAGGAAGTCAGCTGATGAAGAGTGAAGTGATTCATATGTTTAAAAAAGAGAAAAATGGACCAGCATTAGATTAAATCATGGGAGTTCTTGATCTTCTTGGTCTTCTCAGTTTCATTACTTTCAAACTCATTCTTAGTAATGCATAAAAAAAACAAGATGCAATTTATTACCCCTCTAGAACACACTAGTTCACAATGCATGACAGTTCACCATGTGCTTCAGTTCATGCTTTGCCATGTGCTTTTGTTTTGCTTTTGTTCCTGTCTCTGCCCCTGTGATATCATTGGTCTGTTGCCAATTGTGTGCACCTGTTTTATGTTAGCCCCGATCAGTTTTTCTATTTATAATCTATGTGTCTTTGGTCCATGTGAAGTGTTGTTCATTGTTTATTTTGTGTTGCAAAGCTGTCTGTGACTGTTTTTATTTTGTTTTTAAATTCTGTCTATCTGACTTAGATATTTGGATTTGCCTTAATAAATATCACACCAAGAATCAGCGCTTGCATCCTACCTCCAACTTCCATGGTTTACTGTTTATATTACCCCCAAGTTAATGTAACATGCCCAGTTAAAACCCAGAACATACAAGAACATACAAGACTGTAAAATAAATTGGCACCAAAACAGTTCTTCGTTGTTTTCATTGTATTTTCTGTAAGACTTTAATCCAAAGTGGTACAGTAGGTGTTTCAGGAGATTTTTAATGATCATTTAGTAGGAAGTAGATTACATAGGCCAAATGTCAATAAGATACAGACATAAATACAAATAAATTATTTGGTAATGCATGCCATTAATGATGAAAAGAGAAAAATCTATCAAGATACGAAAGAAGAAAATGCTCCAGAGCTTTGAAGCTTTGAAGAAACATAAATATTTCTAAAGATTTTTCAAATTTTTTTAAACCCATTTGTCTTTCTTATTCCAGCTAGTGCTTGAGTGATGATATTTATTTCAAATAATTACTTTGCTATGATGAGTATATGCCCTCAGCATGAGAATCATCTCTTCTTTTGTTGCCATCTCTAATATTGCTTCTTATTCATTTAGCTGCATATTTAAATTGGATCTAGTCCCAGTAAGCAAAAATCAAGGCTTATTTGTAAGTAATATGTGGCATTTACTTTCCCTTGATTACTTTATTTAAAATAAATAGAAATGAGACAACATGCTGGTAGGCTTCTCGTATAAGAAAATCCCTAAAGGCTCAGATGATCCTTGAAGCTGCCAATTTCAAAAGAGTACACTGGGAATCATACTGAATCAGACTGTGTGCTAATTTTGCTTTACTACCATGCCAAAAAAAGTAAAAGCATGAACTTTGTAATGGATTGTGACAAGAATCTTATCACCTGCCTTAGATTAAAGAAGGAAATGGATCATTGCATTAAAAATATTCACTTGAACGGATTTATTTACCCTTACTGTGACTTTGATTTCCTCCCTCATTGACTCAAGTTTCACCTTTAATTTCTGTTCCTCCGCCAACAGATTCTTCCATCAATAATAATTGGACTGCTCCTGGTGTCTTCAGATGCCAAGATGCCTGATTTAATCACATAGTTCAAGAGAGACAATCGGCTAAAACTAAATGAGCGAAGCAGCCCAGAACTAGCTAACATGCCTGTTCCACTGACACCGAGGCATTCACGACAAAATAAACATATCTATTCCCTCTTTGGCGGTAAAGTATTCAGAAGACTGAGCATCTGGGTTTGTGTTAATTAACTTGGCATTAGCCACGTTTGGTTTTGTTTAGCACTGGCTCATGGGCCTGTTTTAGAACTGTTAATTTATGCCTGAGGAACATGGGAATGCCAGTCCTTGATTTGAGCAGAATTAATGCTAGTCTTCCCTTGTGACACAGCCTCTCCTGAAATTTCACAGTAATTTAACTGTGCTGCCAGTCAGAGTTTCCTTCCTTTTCCCATATGCTGTTGCAGGAACAGGAACTGAAAGAGAGAGAGAGAGAGAGAGAGAGAGAAAGAGACTGCAAATAATGGTTACTGCATGTATTTACTGAATATTTGTTTAAGTCTTTAAATGGCAGCAGAAGAAACCAGGAATTATGTATGTTAGAAAGAAACCCTGTAGTAATTTATCACCTTTATTTACTATAACACTTCCATCCAAAAGAGGTATAGGGGTTGCAACTGATTTTCATTGATGATTAAGTATGAAGTAGTTTATTCCTATACGTAGATACAGGTATGAATTGAAAACAAATCCATTTGGTAAATTTGTCAGTGTGTGTCTTTAATCATTTAAAGACGAAAACACTAACAAAGAAACAAATGTTTACAGAATAGGGATGCTGTTGTTCTTTCGGCTGCTCACGTTGGGGGTCGCCACAGTGGATCATTGTTCCACCTATTTGATTTCGCACGTTTTTTTTGCTGGATGACCTTCTTGATGCAACCCTCCCCAATTTTATCTGGGCTTGGGACCGGAACTGGGAATGCACTGTCGTGTGCAACTCCCGTGGCTGGGTCGGTTCCCTGGCCGGAAATCGAACCTGGGCCTTGGTGGTGAGAGTGCCGTGGCCTAACCACTAGCCATCCAAGGACCCAGAACAGGGATGCAACATTATGAATAAATTATTTGGAATGAACAGATTATGTGTTCTAAACAGATACGAATACAGTTATGATTTCTTTCTTCTTTTTTTTTGCATATAACTATGCAAACTGGCTTGAAAATCACAAAAGAAATATTCAAGATTCAAGATTCAAAGAACTTTATTAATCCCAGGGGGAAATTGCTTTGCCATGTTACAATTGTTCTCAAGAAAGAAAGAAGAAAATAAAATAAATATATACCTATACAGTATATACAGTATATATATACATAAATGAAAAAAGTAAATCAATAAATTAAAAATGAATAAGGAAACATACCCATAATGATGTAGAAGATGATAGTTTAGATCAGGTGTGAAGTTAACTGAAGCGCAATGGAATGACAAATGTTGAGTATGATAAGTCCAGTGTGGTAACGGTAATTAAGTACAGTTAGTTATATAGTATGTATTGCACACTAATCTTAGGATTAATAAATAGGCAGTAATAATAAATTTGTATTGCACATGTAAGTCCCTTATTGCACATGAATTGAACATGTATTGCATATGCATTACACGTCAAAGTCTCATGAAAGCACTTATAGAGAGGAGTTGTACAGCTTGATGGCCACAGGGATAAAGGATCTTCTGAAGCGCTCAGTGGAACACTTGGCAGTGATCAGTCTCTGGCTGAAAGTGCTCCACTGGTCGACCAGCACACTGTGTAGTGGGTGAGAAGGGTTGTCCAGGATTGAGTGGAGTTTTGACAACATCCTTCTCTCAGCCACAACGTGAACAGGGTCCAGCTCCATGCCAAATACAGAGACAGCCCTCCTGATTAGTTTGTCCAGTTTATTTCTGTCTGCCACCTTCATGCTACTTCCCCAACAGACCACTGCATAGAAAATGACACTAGACGCCACAGACTGATAGAACATCTGCAGCATGGTGTTGCAAACATTGAAAGACCTGAGCCTCCTCAGAAAATACAGCCTGCTCTGGCCTTTCTTGAAGAGTGCTGTAGAGTTTGATGTCCAGTCCAGTTTGTTGTCTATATGGACTCCCAGGTATTTGTAATCTGCAACAATCTCAACTTCCTCACCATGGACAGACAAAGGAGTGAGTCTATAAATATGTCTATAATAGGTCTATAAATATGCTTTTATTTATAGACCTGCCACTCCATATAGCCAGTGTAGAGCATGTGCTGTACACAGGTCAGCATATCTCTGCTGGGGTCTTCAGAAAATAATAATTGATTAAATCTTTTAAACATTAACTTTGTATGTTCATTATGTATGTTTCTGGTCATTCTTAAATGAACATTGTCCATCAGTGTTAAATGACAATTTTCCTATACATTATTTATAATAGATTATTGAATATTATTAGCTGGCTATAGTTGTCAACTCTAAACAGTGGTTCTTTCATGTTGGACAGACATCTCTCAGAGATAGTTCCCTAGTTTCCTCAGTCATGTTAGATAGAAATCTTGCCACAGAAAATCTAGTTAGGACCAATTAACAGCTTGAGTGGGGCTGTTAGTGAATGAAAAATGACTTTTTACTTTTACTTTTTTCCCCTAGTATTTCCAGAAGCATAGTGATAGGGTTTGGTATTTAATTTAAAAACTAACAGACCTTGCCCACTTCCAGTTCAAATCCAAAAACAGCTCTGATATTTGGAGCACTAAACAGATACAGATATGGATAGTGGCATTGCTTTTCACCCATATTACAGAAATAACCATCCATATTTCCTGTTCTACTGTTGTACTATTACATATACACTTTTTATTAGCTATTAGTTCTTGAGTTTTTATGTCCTAGCATTTGAGATATTACCTCAAATTTTTAATATTCCAGCAATAACACTTCCTGACAAGACTCCCAGGATTTGACATACACCAAGAGTCAATGTGATAATCTTCTTCAGGCTTTTATAAGGTCATCTTTTAAAATTCAGCACTGATGGCCAATGATGCTCTATAGTTTCAACAACCAAAGGGCAGTGCAGAGGCAGTGATAAGGTTAATAATGACTATACTGCTCCAAAATGACTGTCCAGCACATCTCCAGTAGGGAGGATAGCAGCCCTCATATTGCCTCGAATCAGAGGTGTGCCTGAAACTGGCTGGAGATTGAATTTTAATGGAACGGTATAATATGCTGACTCATGAGCTTTTTTTCACCAGCTCTTCCAGCGCTGACACCAAGCAGTCAGTCTTATAACCCTGAATTATCTATGTAATCCTGCAGGTCATGGATTTATCAGATCAGACACAGACATTGCATTTTTTTACACATTCAGATCAATGGGCAAATGGATATTCAAATTGTAAGTGATTTGTCCTGTTTATAAAGAGGGCACATGCCGTGTTTCGGTTTTCTGATTACTGCAGGTTCAGAGCCATGTCTTAGCACTGGAGAGATTCTTATGAACTAATAGGTAATCGAAAATACCACTTCATACCTTCATTGCTATTTGAAATTCTTATCAATTTGTACTTGCATGATCATGCTTCCCAGGCAATTGGAGCCTGGTATTTTGTTGCAAATTCCTCTGAGACGGAATTTTAAAATTAACAGCAAGGTGCTTCCTCCCACACAATGCATTATTAATATAACGACCCTCACCATACATGCACACCACTAAGCAAAAAATGCAACAAGTGACCACTTTTCTATGTAATATGCTTGACATGGAGCCTCAACAGCGCTAGGTGACAAACAACATGTTAATTTAGATTGTATGTTTTTTTTTGTTTGTTTGTTTGTTTTTTTTCAAATTAGTTATGACTCAGTAAAGCCAAAAATAAAAAAATGGCTTAAACAATTCCAATCATATGGTTCCCTGCTCACAACTTTAGTTTTTAAGCAATTAGTAGTTCTTCAGTAATTAGTTCCTACTATGTGACTTAAATAACTGTGCTCATGACCAAAAACGTGACACAGGTGCAGACAGTCATGTGACGTGATCTGGTGAGGTGCAGTGGCTGATGGGAAACATAGTCAAGTCTCAAGCACTGATTTCCATGACAGAACATTCCGTGTCATGACATAACCATGACAGAACCCCCCTTTAATGCACAGCTCCTTACGCACAAAATACGTTTGAGAGGGGGTCCTGGACAACCAGATGAGATGTCTCCCAGACCGTTAGGGTTCTGAGGAGTGCTATCCATTTTGGTACATCCTCCCTCAGGCAATGAGGCAGAGCAGTCTCCTCCGCATACCTCAGGAGTAGCGCAACATCCAAGGCGGAACATGAGAATGGAGCGATGGCAACTGCAAACCCAGCGGAGGATGCAAAGTTCAAGGTTGAGCCAGAGGGGAGAGCGACCTTCTCCACGAAGCCAGAAGGGTGAGTGACATCCTCTGTGGAGCAAGAGATGGGTGCAACGTCCTCTACGAGGCCAGAGGGGGGAGCGCCGTTCTCCACGAAGCAAGAGGGGGAGCAATGTACACCACGAAGCAAGAGGGGGAGGAGTGACATCTCCAGAGAGCAGAGCAGGATGGCACAGCAGCATCCTCAGCGGAGCAAGGAAGCAGAGCGACGTCTGAAGTGGAGCCGGGCATAGTAACGTCTATGGCAGAGCTGAAAGATAGAGTGACGCCCATGGCGAGGCCATGATCTGTAGTGGCATCTTCTGCGGGGCAGGGAGGCAGAGAGAAGTCCTCAGCAGTGCAAGGAGGCGGAGCGATGTCCTCAGCCAAGCAGGAAGGCAGAGCAATGTCCTCAGTGGAGCAAGGAGGCAGAGCGACTTCTGACTTGGGAACTCTCCTTTAATGTTTAAGGAGACGTTAAGAAAATTTTAAAGAATATATTAAGAAAATATTTTTAATAAGAAAAATTAAGCTTGGAAGGAAGTGGCAGAGATTATTGGTATCTATGATAAATGTACATAGATAGTACTATTAGCTTACCGTTTTATTCGAACAATGAAGCTAGTAAACAGCATTAAAAAAAACTCACACTGATTAATGCATTATTCAATTTGTGTGTTAAAAGTTAGTTTTATAAGCTATGTATAGCTACTATCAGAACAAAAAAATGCTGGACGTTTCACGCTCACAGGAAAATACAAGTGACAAAAGGGACTTCTTGCTTGCTAATATGAACATAAGTTTTGTTTTTGTTTGTTTTTTTATAATTACAATGGTATAGCTATAACATATAGGGCCACTTCTATTTCATTCACACATAGGGCCACTTATATTTCATTCTTCAGTCTCTTCTGAAAGTTTATCCACTTTTATACTGGTGAATGGTGAATCTAATACTACAGCTACTGTATATGTATAATCTATAATAATTAATTATGGTCTTTGCAAATTAGATAAATTAGAATAATCATAATCTTAAAAGATAGCACTAGCTTTGTACAATTATATATGAGTGAACCACTAATGAAGAGTGCTTTTAAAAACGATGGGAACAGAAGAGGGCTTTTATTTAGGCGAACAGCAAAACTGCCAAGAGGGCTATTACAAAAGCTGTTAAATATTTTTAATGAGTCATTAGCTTACTTCAGCCTAGTCAAAAAAAACCTCTTGTGGGGTCTATCTCTTTTTTTCTCATTAGTGGTTTAAACATTTTGATTGTGAATCTCCATAATGTCCCATTTATAAAATACAATTACTTTAGACAAAATGGACATGCTTCCTTTTCTATTCCCATTGATAAATCTGAAGTAAAGGGATTATGCAAAATTAAATGGGTTCGATTCAGCCAGTAAGCCCTTGACCCTTTGGTTGTAAAGCACTTCTTATTAGCAGGTGTATTATGCGTAAAAGTCATCTTCCAAAAGGGAAGGAATGTTTTTCAGTTTTGAGAATCCACCGAAATTAGCCACAAGGAAATGAGTACACCATCTGCCTGTGTCCAAAATCATATTTTAATGCTTAATTAAACATTGGCATTGTCATACAAGCATATGAAAAAAGAATTCAACACTACCAGTCAGTGGAATTATGTCTGAGATGTAGAAATTAAATAATTGAAAA